CTAACCGATCGGAAGTAGGACTTGATTACAGCGAATAAATACAGTAGCGTAATTAGAACCAGTAAAATAAAACATGGATTTTTATTCAGTGGAGTCAAAGTCTATTTTCATTTTCTGTATTTGATTTCTTGAAGAAAACATGTATGAGCAACTATGACAATGATAAACTCCCGGTACATGTAAATCAAGCGCAGAGTATACTTGCTACCAGTCTCATAGACAGACAATCAAAAAATCAACGACAGTATTATTTCAATTCATTTGATATCATTATAACTACATGTTTAAACCATGTGTTTTATATAGAGATCTCCAAAAGATTCTAACTTCTTTCTTCTTTAAATTTTTTGAGCATTCAATCTTAGCAGAATTTTCAAATCATGTGCGCGTGTGCTAATAAATTGCGAACTTATCCAACATAAAACCTGGACATAAAGAAAAATATACTATAACTTCAATATTATTTTCTGCTGTCGATGTTCATTTTATTATGCAAGCACATGTAACAAAACTCCAGTTATCCCCATGTTTATTTTCAAATTATTTTCATAATTTGTAAGTTATGAAATTAAGAATTAACTGAGTGACAATGAATACAAAATTTACAAAGTGACAGCTACACGTTTTTACTGACCCGGTAAATTTAAATGTCTTATTCTACATATTGAATTTATACTGAGTGGGAGTAACAATAAAATTTAGAAGATGACAACAATGAAAAACGAGATATGATTTTGAAATTCTAAATATTTTCTTTTTAAGATGCCGCAGCACCAGCATAAATATTGATGATATTAATAGCATTAAAAATACGCAATGAATGGTAAAGTCAGTCAAAATACATCTTTTCAATATTATTTTATTTGACAGTAAATTTATTTCTAATTAATAAGTTGTAAATTTAATCTGTGACACATCACCGCATTTCTTCCCTATTTCTGCTTAAATCAATTAAATACCATTGAAAAATGTCTTTGTTTAAATTATCTCTTTATTCATTTAATATCAATATTTAGACAATTGATTTGATTAATTTTTATAATTTTGATAAACAGGAACGAACAACTTTCAAGTAAAAGGTTTTTGAGACTTGCTGAAACTTTTTTCTGTCATTGTGATTGCGACCTGCTCATCGAAATTTAAATGTGCCATGCAGTAGAATATGTCAGAAGCATTACCATTACCCTTACGACATTAACGATTTTGTATTAGCACAGCAGAAATGTAACTCAATAATCAAGAATTATTAGACAAAAACTACTATTTATCATGATGTTTAACATTGGTTGGATAAATTTTGAAAAACAATTTCCTAAATAATTAATATCTAACTAATTGGTTGATATAAAAAAGAAATAAATAAGATATATATACATGTATACATCATTAAAAAAATATGCCTAGAAGACTTAATTAAATATCCTTGTAATCGTTCAAAAGAAATTATGCAAAAATTTGATTAATTAAATGAACAAGAAGCAAACAGAATTTCAGTTTTATTGTTGACGATATTTGTACCTACTCATTTTGATTTGAAGAAAGTTTATAAATGAATAAATTTGAACATTAGATTACAATAAGTCTCATAATAAAAATAATTATTTTTGAGAAAAATAGCCTCAGTCTCACTCAGGATAACCTCAGTAGCAACAGTATTAAAACTCAGGGCTACTCAGTATCAGCTCAGAGCCTCAGAACCACCTCAGTACCCCTCAGTACCTCCACAGTACCAACAGAGTCAACCTCATTACCTCTCAGTATGTCCTCAGTGTACACAGTAAAAACCTCAGTGCTACTCAGGACTTCATCAGTTATTCAGTACCGGGCTCAGTACAACTCAGGGTTTTCTCAGTACCACTCAGTACTTCCTCAGGGTTTTGTTGGATTCTCAGTGCTTTTTAGTTACAGTAGTGTAAAAGCGTAGATCCAGAAGATTTTTTTTAAATGATGATCTTCATAACTTTTGAACATTTGAAATTATAGACAACGAAAACTCCTCTGTTTTTTTTTGTAGAAATCTACAATTTGCATTCATAGCATAAACAGCAGGTTACACATTCAGATTATGGTTTAATATTAGTATTCTCTTATGAATATTCCTCTTTTGAAAATTAAGAGAAAGAACAGCAGCGACTATGACGATTCAGTACATAATTTTATTCAAAATTCACGACTCCATAGATTAGAGTGAGAATATCGCCGGTGAACAAGTAGTTATACCCCCCGCTTGAAAAATGGGAGGGTATATAGTAATCGGGATGTCTGTCCGTCCGTCTGTCGTTTTGCTCTGACACTTTTTTCGGGTCTCCAAAAGCTAAACAGTGACTTTGTCATTATAATCTTGTGGGAGGCGGGGGGATCATTTAGTGAGCTCGTTGCTCACAGTACCTCTAGTCGGTCCTTTCGTCGCCATTATGAATACTACATCGGAATGTGGAGGCCATACATTGGATGAAACCCTATAAACAGTTTCCATGTCGTAGTAAACGCCATCACGAAAACAACCCTTCATTTCTCAATGGTTATAAGTACCGAGTATAGTTTAATTTAGCATATTACCTCCTGCAAATTGATTGCAGGTTCCAAACAGGAGTTAAACTCTATTTATAATTTAGTAACATTTAAACATATTTTTCACTATTTCTGAGCACAAATGAGACAAGCAAGTACATTTTTTTGCAAATAAATGATTATTTTGTTTATTTCATTTAACAATCGCATCACAAAATCGATGAAATACGCACAGGAGCATCTGCTGCTTATCAACTTATCAACTGTAAGGAAAAATAAAAGTAAATTGCTTATTAATAGTGCTAGCTTTGTACATAGAAAATACTGAATTATATTCCAAAAGAATGAAATAAACATGCGTTGCTTTTTTTGAAACATTATAATGAGATCTATGCTGAAATCTAAATATTTTGCAAAGTACACTATTACATAAAAAAATGTCATTTGTTTATATTTTAGAATTTGTTTACAAGAGTACTCAACATAACAGTTAATGAAATTTTGTTTATACCAAATTATAATTAACAGAAAGGGTCGCATTGTATAGTTAAGCTTTATATATATTCTACAATTAAAAACTTTAAATATAAAATAAAATATACATTGGGATTTTACCTTTTATTTATATAATTAAAACAAACACGATCTTATTGAAATGCTATATGTTCTATGTGGTGAATGAGTGACAGCTGTATTGTGTCATACCTTTGGCGTTTGACATTTTTTATGTGTTGTCCTTTAGTATAATTGGTCTTAGCCCAGTAATCCTTCGAGGTAGGTGTACATGTCAGTCTGTAAACAAAAGGAAGTTATATTTAATAAGGCGGAAAATTGTGCTAATGTTAATGAACAGGCAAATATATACTCAGTAAACTATGATTGAAAACGCGATATTAAACACATTTTTAAAGTTCTTCGATGCATGTTTGTTTTTGAACATTAGTCATTAAATTAAATACAAATGTTCTATTTAAAGAAAAATCTGACTGACTAATAAAGTAGGAGTATAATATTTTTGCAAACTATATTTGTATTGATGCTTGTTGTAGAAATTTTATTTTTTATTAGAGAAAAAACGTAAATTAAACTAAACTATACCATATATACACCGTATTAACTATTTAAAAAACATTTTAGAATCACATTAATAATAATTATTTTCATGCTACCCATTCATTTAAATTATTACACTTTCCATGTCAATACCAATTTCAGTTTACATGTATTAGGGTTAAGCAAGGTTATTTTTTAAAAAAATATCTTGTATTTACTGAGTATATTTGATTTTTTTAACGATGTAATCACTGGGATAAATAAATATTTAAATTTGCCTGCAGGTAAAAGAGACTCGTAAATTTTTGTTCTATTTTTTTTATTTACCTGCATTAAACTATAAAAGTCAACAGAAAAAGTTAAAAAAGGAAATCCTGAATGTAAAAATCATTTGTGTTAATTTACCTTAACATCACTTCCTGTAATCAGAGCGTCGGTGGTGTAATGGTCAGCATGGTTGCCTTCCAAGCAGTCGATCCGGGTTCAATTCCCGGCCGACGCAATTATTTTTGATAAATTATCTTTAATTGAAATGTGCACAAAAGAATAAAGATCAATGATCATTTTCAACATTCCATTTAAATATATAAAAAAAAAGATTATTATGTTCTAATTCACCAGTTCAACCGAACATAAATTATTTATAAATTCAAAACTCCAACACATGTTTAGGAACGGCATCGCCTGCGTCTGTGCAACAGACCTCGACCAATAAAGACAGAAGCAAAAACCCACACTTTATATACCCAAATTTTTCGTAACTGACATTTGCTGTCTAAGATTTTCTGACACATATCCATCTTTAGCAGTCTCGGATCTCCACCGGCCATGTTTTTTTAAATAGTCTATCACAAACACCATGGTTGGCCGCTGCAGTAGCCCCGCCAGCGCGAAGACTATGCAGACCAAACTTCTATCTAAACCCAATGATGCGAGCGCGTCCAGAAGAATCTCTCTAGCCCTAGTATATGACAAGCACTTTTCTCCTCTTAATTTGTATGTGTTAGAATTTTTACAATAAGTGATAGATCTAAACAAATATTCATTAGATTGGTCGTTAATGTTTGCTAGACTGAGATATCTTCTGGTCATTCTCACAGGACATGTAATTTCATTCGTACATGACACAACTACATTGCTCCCCTCTTTATAACAATCTGTTTTGCTTTTCTGAATAGCAAGAGTCATATAATTGTCATAAAAACATATATCTGATCTCTTCAAATGAACAAGTTCTGAAAATCTTAAAAAAACCAGCATAACTTAATAAGCACATACAACATATTCTAATATCTAACAAAGAACACGATTCACCTCCGTAAAGAGCACACAATTGTTTCAGTATATTGGAGGTAATAGGTTCTTTTTTATTTATCAACTGTTTCCCGATAGTTCTATGGCATCCCTCTCTGGCTGAAAAAGTAAGTTCGGATGAACAGGGATTAGGACATCCCACCAATTTATGCGCCCAGCTAATTGCATAAAAAGCCTCGTCAATTGTCCCTGTACTGCTACATGTATTACTGAGACTTGTTAAGTATAACGATACATGGAAATCCGTTGCAGGAAGATATGAAATATTATGTGTAAAACACCACTTACGAAATTTATTGAAGGCATATCCGTACGTTTTTCTTGTGTTTTCAGCCTTGGAATTCATGATTAAATCCGGAAGTTTCTTTGCCAGCGATTGTAAGGAGGGATGAGAGGTCCTCCATAACGAAATCCAATTTCCAGTTTTGAAAACATCTGCAAAACTAAAATAAAAGTCATATTACCGACCATGCTTGGAAACCCAAGCCTTGTCGCAGTAGACCTTGTCGATAAGCACGACCTTGTCTTTTCATTCCTGACCGTGCCAGCTTAAAAAGAAATGCATTCTAATTAAGGGCCATGTCAATCTAATAATAAAACTTGACCTTGCCATAAACTTGGCCTTGTCATAATAAACACAAAATAAATTCAAACATTAATATGTACACAGACCATGCCTTCTAAGGCCATGTCTATCAGACTTCACTGAGTCTTACAGCTAATACTCTGGAATTAAAGCTGTCAGAGCCAAACAGGCTGTTCAAATTTTTGCCATGCATAAAAATATTCTGATATGGAGAAAATTCCAAAACATCAACTACACACTGTTTATACTTCATATTTTCATCAAATAGTAACGTCCAAAATGCTGCAGACGGCCATTTTGGAACAATTAATGTACCCACACATTTACACACTATTACATGTTTTATAGCTTTACTCACAAGACAACTAGGTGGTACTAACCAATTATTTTCAAAACACCAGTTTTGGGTAAAAGCATCAACTGCTTCAATCTCTGGGTACCAAAACAGGGAGTTAAACCTCGTTAACTTTGTGTTATACACACTTGCGAATCTATCGATAGTATGAGGACCCCACATTTGGTCAACAAAACTAAAAAACTCTTGAGTTGTTTGCCAATCTTCATAATCGACTAAATTAGACAAATAATCTGCTTTTGTGTTTTTGTTTCTCGGTATCCAACAAATTTTCAACGAAATAGAATTTTCAACACATTTAGAAAAAATGTCTAAAGCTAAATCTTGTAAATGTAATTTAGTGCTACCTCGTTGTACAATTTTTACACAATTTTGATTGTCAGTATGCCAAAGTAAACTCTTTCCAATAAATGAACTGGCAAATGACTCTAAAGCTAACTGTATAGCTTTAAGTTCTCTCCACGTGGAGCTCATAACAGATTCATTCAATGACCAAGTTTTATGAAAACCTTTTCGTCAGCTTCTACAGTATATGCACCAGCTGCAACGTCACTGGCATCTGAAAACACAAGCGTTATTGGTAACGAATCTTTAACTAACAGTTTCTGATTCAACTTATCAAGATTTTCCTTCCAGAACTGCAACTCTGATTTTACTGCTTCTGGAAATAAAAAAACTGATTAAACAATCCCAATGACTTCTGCTCTCTATAGCTAAATAAGTGTGTCTGGTCATCAAACTTGTTACATTACCAACAACTGGTGACATGGAAATAACTTTCCCAGCCGCTTTTGCGAGATCTCGAGCTGTAAAGTTGGGAAATCTATCAATAAGAAAATCTATCGAGTTCTGAGCATCAGAAAGTCGTCTTTCACGTATACGTAAAGAAAATACACTGGTATCCCGTCCAGATACAAAACAATGTCAATTCCGCAGCTCCTCCAATACTTCACGATGGGTCTGAGACACTTGGTAAAAATATAAGGTGCAGACGTTAGACCGAAAGGTAAAACATTGAAACAATAAAACTTATCTTTCCAACTGAATGAAAGGAAAGCAATCTGACTTTCACAAATATCTATGTGGTGATAGCCTGACTTTAGATCAAATTTAAACAGAAAACAATCTTTATTGAAAAAATTCAAAGCAATATGCCAGTCTTCAAACTTTACATTTTTTTTTCTACAAAATAATTCAACTGACTCAAATCCAGAATAAGTCTCTTTTTACCAGACCCTTTATTTTCTGCAACACTTAGTGGACTGACCACATGTGGCTGAAAGGGAACCTCTTGTACGCAGCCGCTCTCAAGAAGATCTGAAACAGACTGATCAACAAATTGTTGGTTTTTCATTGCAGATTTGTTATTATTCAGTCTCATGCATGGTGGTACTGTAACAAAAGGAATAACATAACCATTTTTGATAGTATCTAATATGAACTCATTAATGCTTATGGACTTCCAAAACTCAAAATGTTTGCGTAAACTGCCTTTCACCCCTTTACCAATATCAGGTAAATTTTCAAAATAATTTACTTGCTGTACAAATGATTCAAACTGATCAGTAAAAATAGATTCATCAACGAAATATACATACTGATTCTCATAATCACTGGGTTGACGAGCTTGTGCTTGGGTTGTTGGTTCTGGCTGGGGCAGTGCATGCGGATTTCCAATGGCCGAGCTTATGGCAGTTGTAGCACACGTCGTATGGAGAGGCCTCCTTACGCTTGTAGGGACGAAAATTACGGCCAGAACCACCAGACCTACCATCAGGTAGCGAAGTTGTTGCAGAACCAGACTTGGAATATGGCTGAAAACGGCGTTTTTCCTTGATAGCTCGTAATGCTCGGTTTTCAGCTTGACGTAGACGTTTTTCGTCCTCAGAGTCGGACGCCAAATCATCACTTTCATACTCACGGACTGTCGACCACCCGGCCGGAGATTTATCGGCGATCCTGATGAGCTTGTTACGTTTAGTGACCTTGGAAATGAGCTCTGTAACGATGCTCAATGTGGAAGAATCTGAAATGCGCTTTTTAAGTTTATTTAAATCACCCAATATTTCAGTATTAAAGTTAAACTGAATTTTGTTCCCTTCACTCTTGAATTTTACAGAGACCTCTTTTTTAATGGTTTTTGTAAAATTTTCGATGTCGTTACCCGTAGAGAGTTCCTCCTTGAGAGTATCTAGTTTGTTGTCCAGGAATGACTTGAACAGGTTGAAAGTATCGGCCAAGTCCGCACTTACACGGGGGCTAGAGTGTCCAGAGGTCTCCGCAGAATTTGCCTTCTTGCGAGTGGTTTTCTGTTCACCAGCGGTTTCTTGTAGTAGAGTATCGTCTAGAGACTCATCTTCCTCCCGGTATTGGGCCAAGGAATCTGTTTTTTGCCGAGACATCTATACTTTTTACTTGTTGCACTAAGCGCAAGCGAAACATCGAATAACCTCTAATTCTTAATACCTGGACACAGGTAAACTACCTGTTCCGCACGATTTCATTTGAACTCATATCAATCGTTAAAATCAAATCAAATCTTAGATACTATAAATACTACCTAAACACGTAAACGAACAACACCACGTGTTTCCGATACCAATTATAAATATATTAAACTAGAGGTACTGTGAGCACTGAACTCACTTGTTTCGGAAATCCTAGATCAAAACATGGACTTTGCTATAATAACCAAATGGGAGGCTGCGGGTATCATTTAGTGAGTTCATTACTCACAGTACCTCTAATTTTAATTTGCCATTCTTAGAACATGCTCAAATGGGCAATATAATCTTCATTTGCAAATAATAATGGTATATTTCTACAAAAATAAGGAAAGTCGGCGGTAGAAATATTGAGGTCATCACAGTTGTAATAAAAAATAGTAAGGTGTGATTTCTCTTGTTAAAAGTGTGGGTTAAAAGCACATAACTCACACTTTTTTATAACTCTGATTTCTACGAGAAGCTCGAGATACCTACATAGACCTTCAATATATTGATTAAAAAATATTTTCTCATCATCTTACCGATAGATATTTACTATACAATAGTGAATTATTTCATTTATGTATTGTGATCCTTAAATATACATATTGATACACTTAAGGACAGACGAGACGTTCCTTAATAATAGATAATTTTTTCTAAGAGTTTGTCATTGAAGTATTGCTACTTAAACATGTTTACTCACAAAAAACTGAGGTACCTTACCAGGCATTTCTGCAAGATACCAGGGGTAGTTTTTCTTATATAATCCTTTGGGGAAGAAAAATAATTTTCTAATTTCAAATATTTAAGTGTTTGGATTTTTTAAAAACGTTCAGAAACTGGTTTAGAAATCAGAATGTTATTAAAATTTTGAATATTTTTCATACATTACGAAGATATACAAAACAAATTTTGAGGAACGTCTCGTCTGACCTTAAAGTGAATATTAACTACGTTTTAGGCTATGTACAGCTCAACGCACCTTTTAAACTCACCTGGTTTTTCGCACAACATAAGGTCACATAATTCTTGTAATAAAACTTAATATAAACAAACTTCAGCAAGAGACATAACCTTAATATGTAATAATTATCTAATGTCAGAGGTATATATTCTAAAGTATCATTATCGTAAGTTTTCAACGTCGATGTTTTAAAGGGAACTTTATCAATAAATGGTATGATCTTATATCTATATGATTCTGTAATAGGTATTTACAAATTAAATCAATTGAGTTTTCTTTGATACTATTTAGTAGAAAATTTAAAGCTGACTTTTTTTTATGAGTGTTTTCTAAGTACTTTGCACATTTTTCGTACTATTCATGGTTTTGGCGAGACGGATCACCGAGAAATGACAATGTTGTGTAAAGAAAACATGCCAAAAGGTAGGATAATAAAGTATTGTTTATCTTTAAAAATAGCAACTTGTTACTATTGAAAAGAAAATCATTTTACATTTAAAGTATCTTTCATGATGCAAAATTTCAGTAAGTAACCCTGAAAGAATGCCAGCTTTTTAAGATGGAAAGCAGTAGAACACCTGAGAAATACTGTTATCATCCTGCGCTTTATTGTCATATTAATTCACAGAAAATACAGAAATTATATGAGCTGGACTGTTTCTGTATCTAGGCAAGGCAAAGGACTGCTTTAAAGAGAACGGATTCAAAGACGACTGCATTTGACGAGAAACCATGAAAAACCATTTGGGATATGTCAAAATTTATCATCCGAGAGCATTTTAAAATCCAAAATTATGTGGAAATTATGTTCGAAGTTAGTGAATTAAAATCAAATCACATCAATTAGTTATAAATCAATCCAAAGTATGTTTTGTTGCCTTGTTACTCAAATTCGCATTATAACAATGTGACGTTAATTTGTGCGAAAAACCATGTGAGTTTAAAAAGTGTGTTGAGCTGTATATTATCTTAATTTGCAACTGTTCCTGTTCAATATCTTCATTTTTTTAAATACTAGAACAGGCGTAAAAGAGGGGAGGATTTTTGTCATGTTCCCGGTTCCTCTCGATCTATACAATTTTCTGAAATATAAGAAGTCATAATTTTATGATAAATTTATGAACTATTTGAATAAATTTAAATAATTTGAAATGTCTTAGAATTATTATTTTGTCGCATTTGTTCCTTTCGTCAAAATACTAGTACCCAAAAGCGATACAAGTATTTCAGATGTTAAAATATATTAATGAATTTTTCAAAAGTATTTTCTAAATTACTAAGATATAATCTCTAATTAGGATTTAATATTTTTTCTCTATTCAAAACACGTGTCTTTTGGATAGTGTTGTGGATTTACATACTAGTACATTTAATAATTTATACATTTTTTTCAATCACTTTAAAGAAATTTACATGTAAATTGTTTATCCCTATAAAGTACACGTTAGAACTGCTCCATTGGCTGCAACATTAATATTATAGTAAACTTCATTTTAGTGACATTAAAATCATTGTATTTAATTACCATCACCAAGATTAAGTATCAGTGAACCAGACAATTAGGCGACTCTAATTTATTGTTCAAAAATGATGAATGTTTATCGTTCGAACCTCTCTTTATTTTATGTTATTCCATTGTTGTGCAAGTATATACTTTATAAAGTATGGTCTACAATCAAATCACAAAATTATAATCAAATGAACAAATTTGATTATCAAGCGACAGTAATTTTTTCTATACACGTATCTTTTTAAGGACAGATTTGTTCTCTAGTAAACATTTAAGATTTAAATATATTCAGTTAAATATAAAGGGTTGATATTTACAAATGAAAAATGGGGATGAAACTCAAGTATTAGATTACATCTTTTATTACTCTCTATTGTATACTTCTTTTTCTTTTAACACACTTACAAGAATTTTGCATGTTATTTTATTTTTTCCGTAAAAAGTGTTTGCTGACATAACAGAGCTTGATAAGACCCGAATTTTGCTGTCCAATAAGTTAATAAGTTAAATTAATATTAATGATGTATTTTTGACCAAATGATTTTCTTAAGTGTTATTATTATTATATTAACTTTATGAAAAGCAAGTCTATAAGTTTTAAGTGGTACAAGTCTAACAATATATTTGTACTTTGTTTTGAAAATATTATCATACATTATAACTATGATGTTTATCATTCGAGTTGAAAAAAAAAACTGACAATTTTTTTACCATCAGTTATGTGTATGCAACATGTTCCCTAACACAACGACTAACAAGTATTCTTCAGAAGGTAGTGAAGTATACTATTTTGTGTGGTTGCTTCCCTTGCAGTACTTGTTAACTGTGTATTGAAATATAAAAAAATTAATTTTCGGTCCCTTTCAGTATAGTGAATTTATCCCCTAGTTCTACTATAGACAAGGATATTTTAGAAAGAAGTAAAAATTCTTTAATTGATATATACTATGCATGAAATGCGAAACAAAACACGTTTTATGGACAGTAAACCAACAATTTTATAAGCATGACGGGGGTCAATAAATTAATCATTTCTTGTAGAAAACACTTTATTTTATATTAGATGTTTGTATTTGTCTTTAACTTTAAATCAATTTTATTCAACCCGATGATTGATTAGGGCAATTTTTTTTTTATATCAAATGTTAATTTACTTTCCAGTTATAAATATCACCTATCCCTCAGCAGAGTAAAGTCATTATTTTTTTACCAGAAGTTTTATGCTATAATCTATAAGTATCTAAAAAATAATAAAATATATTATTAATACCACTTAAAATTTTTAATAAAATATATTATTTATATCCCTTTCAAAATAAATAAATTATAATTATTATAAATAACTCTTAAGTTATAATTAGTAAATAAATTAGATGATAAACGTCTGTGACGCACGTCATATGATATTTTCTTTTCGTGAAAAGCTGTCACGAACATCTGTGAGTGCAAGCGTAAAATTCATTTTCCTCAAAAAAAAGTATGTTTAATCTGATATTAGATATTCTGTATATAAGAAATAACAAAACTTTAATCTGAACGTAGATATTTTTATGTTATGCAAAAATGACTCATATAGGAAATTTAATACTAACAATACAGGAATTATATATACGTTTAAAATGGATTTAAAATAGAAAAAGAACACAATATTTATATTTAGTCAAGTGTTTTTACGAAGAATTTCTTCTAGGATATTTACTTTAGTTTTTTTTTTTTTTGTTGCCAAAAAATAAAATGTGATTCTCATTTATGTTGTAAATCTTGTGAAACATATCGTGTCGTTGTGGCTAATATCATATTCAAAAATTGGCAAAAGTCTTTTGCGTCCTTCTAAAGATACCGGTATTTAAATATCAGTCTTACATGTATATCAATCTAGATTACAAGATTTATCTTATTCATCAAATTTAGAAATATTTTTCTCAGCAGTTACTTCATTCAGACCTCTACTTAAAAAAGCACACCATGGAAGGGAGCTAAGAATCGGGAGTGCTTCTAAACTAAATACTCTACCATTCACTTCTTTTAGCATTAAATATTTAAGTGAAAAGAACCAAGTGATATAAATTACCTGCCCATACTTGAATTAATGTAATAATATATGTTACAAACATTACGCACTTCTTGTAATACAAATTGCCCAGGGTGAAATTTACGCCCAAAATTCTGCTTGTATGCAAATAAATAGTCTGAAACATGATAATTTGCGACAAGAAAGTGACCTTTCTATTTAAAAGAGGAAGAAAAATTGTGTATTTATAATAATAATGTGACGAATCATTCAAATAAAAAAAACGAAATCTAGCTATTACTGCATGGGTTCATATAAAAGTCAAACAAGGAAGCTTTTTTTGAAATGACTAAATATTCCTTACACTATCATTTGCATTGCAATGTCGATTAAATAAGGCTTAAAATATGATGTTGCATAAAAATATT